TTGTGAGGAGGGCAGCTCACAGCTCTTCAAACACAGACGGGATCAAATCTTCAAATCCCCTGGAAATGTCAGCCACGTTTGAGGAAATGTCAGCAGAGCTGAGAACACACGCRAACACACATCGACCAGAGCGTGCACGCACACAGGCATCCGTGCCCAACAACCATGAAAGAAAGGAATTGGGGATATATAGCAGTCATTCCCTGTGGGTAAAATCAGTCTCATCGTTTTCAGAAAGCTCAGGGGAAAACCTTTGTTTGCTGCTGTAGGTGTTTATTCACATGTTGAASTTGGAGTGCTTGGCGTTTTTCATGAATGCACATCTTCCCTGCTACTGACTAACAACAAATAGTGAAACAACAATGATTTTGGTAAAACTGTGGTAGACCTGGTGTACAACACAGAAAAATAATAAAAATAGAAACAAACTATAAGGTTTAGGATTGACACAACATAAAACATCACATTTTGAAGAACACAGTAAATAAATAGAAAACATGAATTTATTTGAAAAAAAACCACAAAATTTTCAGATTTTTTAACAACAAACAAAAAAAGAACTACACAAAATAATAGAAGTAAAAAGTGCAATTGGTGAAAGTCCTGTCTTCTTTTTATACCTATTGAACAATCATTGCTTAAAAGTGTCCAGTTTTGTAAAGTGTAGCAGCATATTAAAATGTATTTCATGGCTGATTGTAAAAAAAAGATGAAACAGTTCTTTCTATATCTAATAATTTACAATGTTATGGGATAAAACAGTAAATCAAAACTTTGTAAATGTAGATCTATAAGTGATCTCATCTGCCACCAGTGACATCAWGCTGTGCTCTTATCGATCTCCTCTCACTCCCGCTGACTAACTTATCGACATCCTCAAGTGTATTTCCTGTCTGGCCTGTCAGCGATGTTTATGGATGGACCTGCCCCCTGGTGACACAAAGACACACACACCAACACACAGACACTTACAGTCAGAGCTGCAGTTTTGTTTGCACGTTCACAGGAAGCACCCATAAGTTTGTGTTCCATCATTATACGCACACACACACGCGCACACACACACACACACACACACACACACACACACACACACGCACACACACGTAACCTTACCTTATTGATGTATTGCTTGATCCTGTCTTTTTCCTTAATGAATCAAGTGAACTTCAGATACTGTGCAGGGCTTACGTATTGATGTAAGAAACCCTGAAAGCTTTGGGTTGCAATAAACACCTGTGTTTCTTKCAAAAAGTAATGGTGAAAAGGTGCATGCGTTTTTGAGTGATGTGCACGTGCATTGCCCTGTCACGTTTTGTGCGTCGCTCAGACGTGATGCTGTGTCCAGACTGAGGTTTTGTGAGCRACATGGTGTCAGCACTGTTTCAGAAGTTGATGGGCGATACGAGGGTTAAAAGTAGCTGTGACTGGCGTGATAGTCATGACAGACTTTCTCTCATAAGGACTCACAAGCAAACACACTTCCYTGCATGCAGCCTGCAGCCTGCAGGCCCTTTAAATGTTCATCTGTAAGTTCTATTTAATTTTTGCATCCAGGAACTAATGTCTTCTGATTTTTTGAGGGCATAAGTTTCTCTACACTAGTGTTTTTTTAAATTTGCTGCTTGCATGCTCTCTCTCTCCATACTGCAACATTGTCCAATACCAGTTTCTTCCTTACAATTGAGAGGAGATAATTTTGAGCTGTGGAATTAACCTCAATTAGCACCACCTCTGCAGATCTTTCTCATTTCACCTCCTGACTCCAGCTCCAACTCTCAAATGTCCCTGGTCTATTCACAGGGCATTTCTCTGTCCACATTATGAACATCAACATGATTATTTTAGTTTAAAAATATATTTTTTAGGATTGCTGGGTGCAAGACTTTTAAAAAAYATATTCCAAGCAATGCTAGCAACACCAAATTTGGTTAAGTCCGAATATCAAGTTTCCATTATGCAAAGATCCCAGGCTTTGCCATTTGTTGACTTAYTGGATTTGTGTCTTTTGCAGCTTATCTAGACAAATTGTCAGTGCATTGACATTTTGTTGACATAAAACTTAGTTCTGTTCTTGGCTTTGCATGAAGGGGTCTTGTGTCCAGAGCAGAAAATGGTGTAATACCTTCGTCAGACCACAGAAAAAAATAAAATAAAATAAATTAATAATAGCACCTGCTTTACTTTGTGTCAAATGCAAAGTTTTATTTTGCATTCGATTTGAATGCCAGCATGTTAAATCAGTGGTGATCAAGGCAAATATGCGGCGTGCWTCGGTCCCATTTTCAGAACTGAAAGTTAAGACCTTAACTGCCTTCTAAATTTGCCCTAATTATGAACATTTTAAAGAGCATTATCTGACTTTAACCCTTTTAACCCTGCTCACTCATCAAACACTACATTTGTGATTTTCTAATGCAGTGACTTTTTTCTTACGTTTAAAAGGAAAAATAAGGTACAACTTTATAGAGTTCATGCAACTTTATTACAAGCAAGCTTTGCAAATGAAATCTGAAATGTTTAACACAAGATTATATACAGTACTCGGATTTGTCAGTGAATATAAAGGCAATATTCAAATCTTCAAACACAAATAATAGCCTTGATGTTGCAGCATTTTGTACTGTTTACACGACAAAGAACTGAATGACTGCAGCATCTTTTATGTGAATTTATTTTTAATGTCAGTGTGCACAAGGAGTTTCTTTGGATCTATTTATAGCTGCCTGTTCATAGAATCACCTGCCTATTAGCAAATTAGCACAYAAGCATTGATATTTAGCTCAGTGTACACCTAACAAAGCATCTGTTGTGCTTCCTGTTTTTCTTGTTCACAACAGGTAGTGTTTCCCTAACACCCTGCTATGTTGAATTTCAGCAGCTCAACAATATATCTTAAYGTGTCACTTTAAAAGGCTTGTTTTTCTTTAAATCAAGATCAGAAAAAACCCCAGAAAAAAATCAGCAAAGCRGCTACAAGAGCAGAGACGTTAGGAAACTTGTAAGCTGGATTGTTGTGTGCACTTTTCTTTTTTTTCTRGAGTAAAATGAATCCCCAGGCTCAGACATGACTATTTGCTTGGAAGTGTTTTGTTCATATTTGACAGGTAAGCGAACTGCCGAGGCACACCCAGCGCCTTTCGGATGAGGAAGATAAATAGTGAAACTCAATAAAGCAAAGAASTGAACAAACCTTGTGACACTCTTTTTCCTGGCAACACACAATCGCACGAGAATCCCAATAATTCAGTGGCGCGGCAATTACTGAGACTGCGTAGGAGAAGTGGATCGTTACATTGAACAAAGGTTGAGTTTATTGTCAAGTGAGGTCTCTTTAAATGGTTTTTAACTGCTGGTGTAGCAGTAGCAGCTGTCTGGGCTTGAATGGAGGGCAGGTGGGCAGGTCTGAAAGAGCCAGTTGAGGAAAAAAAAACATTTAAAAAATCCCAACTACAAAAAAAAAAAAAAAAAATCCCCTGACCGGTTAGTGAATTTACATACAGGCCAACAGCCGGAACACTTGTGGGTTTTTTTTTTTTTTGTGTGTGTGTGTGTGTCCTAATTTTTGTGGTTGTGGTTTTTGCCTAGTCAGTTGTAACTGTAGGAAAAAGCCCTCGTGCACCTTAAAGCCTACAAACACCTGCATGCATGGGCAAACGTGAACACACCGACATGCTCAGCCAAAAGAAAATAAAAAGCACCACGTCCCTCCCTCCCCACTCTTCATGGGAAGTCATTAGAAATGTGTGTGTGTGTGTGTGTGTGTGTGTGTGTGTGTGTGTGTGTGTGTGTGTGTGTGTGTGTGTGTGTGTGTGTGTGTGTTTTATTTTTAGCAGTGTGTGTGTTTTGGAGAAGTCGTAGAGTCTTGTCAGTCTTCAGGGCCCTCCTCTGCTCTGTCACACTGTGTCTCTGTCTCTTGCTGAGAGCTATGTATATTTCATAAGCCCAGGGTGCCTTTTTGTCTTAGGATACGCTGCACCTCCCCTGCCTGTCTCGCTGCTGTTCGTCAGAGGAGGGAGCCATCACAGACATTTTTTATTTAATAATCCTCCCCACTTCCTCCTCTCTCTCTCTCTCTCTCTCTCTCTCTCTCTCTCTCTCTCTCTCTCTCTCCTCTCTCTCTCCCCCTCTCTCTCTCTCTCTCTCTCTCTCTCTCTCTCTCTCTCTCTCTCTCTCTCCTCACTGACAGCCACCCTCTGCTTCTCCCTCTGCTTTTCATGGTCAGCTCGTCTCTCCCTTGAAGTCGTCCCTCTCTCCCCCTCCAGCAGTGGAGTAGAGCACATCCAAAAGAGACTGGGTCTGTCAGGCAAAGCCTTTCTCTTTGTGTCTCTCTCCATCTTTGATTCTGTATATCTGTCTGTTTTGCAGCTCTGTCACTTCAGGGAAGGGACACTTCTTCACCCAGGAGCTGCATCCCCTTTAGTTGTTGTCTTTTTATAGCAGAAATCGGAGCGCTGTGACAGCAGCTAAAAATGGATGCACCTGTGACAAGAAATATCTACAATTAGGCCCATTATTTGCAACATCAGCCTCTTTTTTATGGTTAAGAGTTCAGTTTTGTGCTCAGAAGATTCTCAGTCTTCATCTTTATATTTAGGGTTTGTTTTTTAATTCTTCCTCTTAACAAAGTTTACTTTAATGTACTTTCATGATCAATTAAACAGTTTTTTAAAATAATGTATTTGGCTGCAGCTTCTCTCACTAGATGTTTGAACTGGTGTGTTCATTTGCTGCTTCCTGTAGGATTTTACTACAAGTCCAATCTGCTGTACATCCACTGCTGATTTACCATAATCATGAACTGTAGAATTACAAAGGATAGTATTCTTATAATGATGCAATTGAAGCTGCTAAATCTTCTTTGTGAATGTTTTTGAAGAGACTTTGTGTTTCGTAATTTGCTGACATAACAGAAAATGTATACATGACATTTTATATAATTAGAATTAAAGCCTTCAAAGTGCAATGGAACCATTCTAATGATGCGTTTGTATTTTCAGGTCGGTGCAGTGATTGCAAGTACAACTGGAGCCACTAAAGGGGTGAACTCGGGTTCAGGGGCTTCAGAACCTGCTCATGACCGCACTCCCTCATGCTCAGGAACCTCAGAAACAGAGAAAGCAGAGCATCAACTTTCCAGTGAGTGTTATTCTCCCAAATTACAGTCTCTCCTGTTTTGCTCTTTGATTATCTGAGGTTTACATTGTCCTTTTTGATTCCCATCTGGAAGATGGACATAATAAACGGTGGATGGAAACTGTGAAAATTGCCAAAAAAAAAGCTTATATTATATTAATGAAATCAGAATTTCTTTTGATTCAGTTCTGAATATAATTTAAACATTTTTTGTCAGCATTTTACGGAATRATTAGAATTGTTTTCACTAATGAGCTGACACCCAACACTTAAGTTCACACAGTTCTTATCAATTCACAGCAAAATAGTAAAAAAAACAAACATGCAAAGATGAATCTTTTTACTTTCAACATCCAATTTCTTTGACTTGTGTTCCCTAATAATACATTTCTTGATTGCTGCCTGTGTGATCAGAAGCATGCGGCACTTTCACTCAGATCATACAGCAGTATGCTAAACCACAGCGTTCACAATCTTGTCTTTGCTTCCTTTTTCTGTTGTTAGAAGCTTTTTTTACCCCGCTGTTTGTTAACACAAGAAGAAGTGAGGCAGTTTTAACACCTAAACTGAAATGTTACAGAAATGACTTGTGGTTGTCTTTCCTACCTGTGCTATCACGTCTTCCATCACCCTCGACATCTATAAATACTTGAAATAGCCATCACTTTCTCAACCAAAACTACAATAACTTTTCTTTTCTGTCTTGTTGAATYTCATACACACATACACGTGCTGCTGTGTAACACTGAATTAGACATTAGTGATTTGCCTGCAGTTTGCTTTGCAAATGTCCTATGGATCTGGTCGCCACACCATCCTCGCACTGCGTTGTTAAATTACAAATGCTCCTAATTATCAGTAAGTAGACAAACTGACTCACAGAAACTTCAACATGCTGGCACGGTCGTGTGTTTTTGATCAGTTTTCTTTTTAGATAAAACATTAAATTCATTGGATTTATTTTCTGTCCTAATGAACGTAAAACAGCCGTAAGTCTGAGCTCCCTGTGAGGATGCTTGTTCTGAACTTGTTGGTTCAGGGCATGGAACTGATACAATAAAATTAGAGACTGCGTGCSTTTGCATACAGCCCAGAGGAAGTCATCACTGCTGTGGATTTCTGGAGCTCAGTGTATTTATGTGAAAAGTGCTGGCTGTCTCCTCTCATTAGTGTTGCTCGACTGCCTCTCGTCTCTTTTTTTTTTCCCATCTCTTCTTCTTTTTCTTATATGTAAATATTTGCACTCATAAACGCGGTAGTTGTGAAAGTTTCATATCTCTCCACTTTTCACTTTTTTTCTGTTTTGCTGCTTAGCTTCATTCTCTAACCACTCTTTTGTTTAGGCCTCTTCTTTTCTTTTCTCTAAGGCTATTTGTGTTTGGCCATGAGGGCCCCCCTGTCGTCTACAGAAACTCAGCTCAGGCTCTCTTTCCAACGGAACCCACACATGTACAGAAACACTCATAGAGACGCTTTCACACAACCACAAAGACACTTGATTAAACAGTCATGACAAAGGGGCCACCATACATCCACCGACACGCACACACAGCCTGAACGATCCTCCCAATGRTCGAGTGTGGCTTTAAAATGGGGGTTTCATGACTTATTCAAGTGTTCTCCATCATGAATGTTGCGCTGCAGCTCCCACCGACATGACACGGCCCATTTCCTCCGCTCAGACTAGAAACGGGGCATAAAGAATGCTTGTGGTGTTCAAACAGAGTGGAGTGGAGGTACAGCATCAAAGACTAYTGGGTTTAAATCATTTACACACCAGCCTTATTGAGGTTATGGAAAAGGGGGRATTTTGCCACGGTCTTGTCTCTGCAGGTCCGTATCAGATCAAAAAAACTTTCAGAAAAAAAGCTGTTTTTATTTATTATGCGCGGACGTACCTGTCCAGGGTGTACCCCGCCCCTCGCACTDTGWCTDCTGGATATGGGCACCAGTGACCCACGCAACCCTGAAAAGGAAGAAGCGTGTACAGAAAATGGATGGATGGATGGATGCGCGGACGTCTTGCGGTCCATTATGAGGTGGTATCAGACAGGAAGCAGGCTGGAGAGGGGGCTATCCAAGCTGGCTGCAGTTTGCCTCAAGGCTGTGGATGCATGAACACAACTGCTGAGCACTAAATCACCAGTTCCTCAGGCTCAAACAAGAACTTATCCCCACATTTTTACTGAAGCCCATTTAAATTATTTAAATTTAAATTTAAATATGATTATGGATTACTCTGGATAGTGATTGTAAAAATGCTGGCTCAATTAATTTGTTTAAAAGAATGATACAAAATTATTTGTTAAAGAAATATGAAATTCTGTAATTTGCATTTGTAAGAGCTGCTGTTTAGGAGCTGAAGATATTGTTTTGTTATTGTTTGAAACTATTATTATTATAGTTAATATGGGCAGCTATTATAAGATTTTTTCTTCTTTCTGCTACCTTTCATTTTTATTTGATATGTATTTTTTTGTATGTGAGTTTGTTTTTAAATTAAATGAATAAATATTGTATTTAAATTAACATTTACATTTAAATCATTCATTTGGGGTCAATATGCTTTGGTCTCCTCCTTACTGTAACTCCACAAGCCTCTCTAAAGACTCCAAGTGTACAACAAAAAGCACGTAATGGCTAAAAAAGTGGATTTCACATGACATGTCCTCTTTAATGAGTAGAGACCTCCTGCTGCTTTGACAGCACAGCCACTGATAAGGCATACAAATATAGGTAAAGAAGTATAAAAAAGATAGTTGTCATGGTTTGCTCTTCTTTGTTTGTCCTCACTCTTTCTGCCTTCTGTGCTCATCACTTTGATCAACTTTATTTAGCCACATCTGCAGTTTCTGCTACATACACGTGTGTGTATGTGTCCTGACACAGAAATTACACATGCTTCTGATGTGATTGTTATGAGACTGTATTTTGATTGCAATAGCACAGCTGGGCTTGGCAGACTTGGCAATGTTGAACACTTTGGCTGCAGGCCAGTTCGATGCTATTGCAATTAACAACTGTGGGAGCACAGAGCATAACTGAAGACCGGCTGCAAGTGCTGGATGGGGTTGGAAGAGAAGGGTGAATCATAATGTTTGGCCGCACGTTTAGGACGGATTGTGGAAAACGTTCGTATTAACAGAAGTGCTGCTTGGAGACCTGTTGGTTAAGTTGTGCTYGAAGAAAGCAATGTGTTCATAGACAATAAATAAAAACCAAAAGGGTGATTAAAAAACAGTTATTGCAGAGCAGCAGGTGGATGATTGGAGAAGAGAAATGGAGCAGAAATATTACAGGGGAGATGTACTCGAAGGAGGAGAAAAAATGAAAATGAAAAAGAATGATAAGCTGAGGAGATAAAGCAGGAATGGGCAACTAGTGGCCCACGGACCGTATGTGGCCCATGCTTGACCTCTGACCGACCCACTAATGAGAAAATGTTATTTTTTTTATTTAAAAAACAATCTTAGAGCAGCTCTTAGAATCTAAAAGTTGTTTTAAGTGTGCTTTTTAAATTTTACATTAAAATTTACAAAAAAGGAGGTTCATTTTGGGATGTAGAGTGTTCACAGAATTTCAAGGCAAACCTGTGTTTAATCTGCTTAGAGACGCCGTCTGCCATGAACGACTTTAATATAAGTCACAACTACAACACGTTGCACAGAGCTAAATATAGGAAGTGTACTGAAGTCGCAAATATATAAACAACGGAGACTTTTTGCAAGAACCACAACCACACAGGAGTCTGCACTCAACTTGTCTTATGACGCTGCACTTCAGCTCGCATGTGTCTGATTTTTGTTTGCTTCAACATTTTCTGTTCATATTTATTAAACAAAAGTACAACTGATATACATGCATTTGATAATGAAATATAGTAAGGTACTGCACTGTATGCTGGTTTGATAAACATATATTATCATAAACATTTCTAAAAGGGCAGTTTGATTACATTTGGGCAAGTGCAGCATTATGGGGCCCTCTGATTGTGTCAATAGAAAAACTGTGACCCGCTTCCATCCTTTAATTTGCCTATCCCTGATATAAAAGGAGAGGCAATGTGGAGTGTTTTAAAAGAGGAAAACTAAAGATTTACTTAAAAAAAGCATAGTTGGAAAGGCCACTGCTGGGTCCCTCTTCTTTACTCTCCCTCTTTTTTTTATCCTTTTGTCCTTGTCAGTGGGATAGGGAGGATGAGCGTCCGATGCCTCTGCTTCCAGACAGATGGAAGAGCCCTTGTGTGTGTGTGTGTGTGTGTGTGTGTGTGTGTGTGTGTGTGTGTGTGTGTGTG